ATTATTATTATTATTATTATTATTATTATTATTATTATTATTATTATTATTATTATCTTCTTTGCTATATGTGGGGTTCAAGAGAGCTGGGAAGAACCGGCCACTGAGGGCAACCTGTGGCTCCTGGGGGGTTCTGGAGTCTGGGATTGCCAGGCCTCCGGGCTGCACTTGCTTTTGGCCTAGGGCAGGGAAAGGGGGGTGCACCTGAGCAGCGCCATGATGGTGCAGGATAGTGTTTTTGCACCTGCTCCAATATCCTGGGCAGGGAGGCAAGGTCCGCAGCAAGGACTTGGGGGCAAGGCAGAGACCCCCTCCTCCTTCCAGTCTTCCTTCTGCCTGGTTCTTAACTCAGGGTGTGCTGGGCTACTTGGCTTGCAACTTCTCACCTTGGAGTAGTGCTAAAAACTGATAAATGAAGAACTCCCATCATATATCCATGTAGCCACTCTGTGAATCTGATGAAGTGCGTGGGAGCTGATAAAAGCTTCTGCCTTTTAAAGAAATTTGTTTCTACACAGATTTTGGAGGACTTTCACCTGAATTTATCTTTAAATGATCAAGGGTTAGGATTTTCTCAGTTTGAACACTATTTCCCTAACCATAAATTGATAAAGGCCTAAGGTTTTAGAATTTACTCTGTTGCCCTTTCTAGACTCTTGAGCATCGCCAGCCCTTTCCCTGGGACCTGCAGAGATGTGTCTTGAGCATAGCATGGTTCACTTCCCTACCTCTTTCTGAGGAACAGATTCTGATGGTGGCAATCAGTGTGTGGGAATATAGGCCTTTTTATAGGGGAGGAGCCCTGACTGCCATCGAGTAGAATCGCTGGCTCAATTTACCCCGATAACACAGTGTGGATTATTTTAGGGCTTTGCATACCTTTTACAGCAAAGACTGAAGGTTGGCTTGGTGTTCAGTAAAGACATGACACAGAACACTGTTTTTTAATGTTGTTTGTTTAGTCAAAATCTGTTTATTACAAGTAGTCCTTGTTTACAGACCATGCATTTGGCAACTGTACAATGGTGCTGAAAAAAATAAATGTATACCCAATTTACAACTATTTATGACCTTCACAGCATCCCTCAGTCTTGTGATTTCTATTACATTCAGTACGCAACCTGTGTTTTTGTTTTTGTTTTCCTCTCCTTGCGGAACTTCTGATGTGTACCAGAGAGTAATCAAGCATCCCAGTGCTCCAGGGAGGGGGGAGCAGGGTAGGAGGCAAGCAAAAGCAGAAGGTAGGAAGCTGACTCATCTTGCCTTTTTCTGTCTGAGAGCACATTCCCAGTCATTGATTTCCCACATAGCCACCTCTTTGCTTAGCATTAGGGTGATCCCACTAGGGTTGCTAAGCGAGGACTACCTGTAAGAAGATGTTGATGAAGGTCTGGAGGTCCTCAAGGATCCCAGGGTCCCAAAATATTCTGTTGCAGCTGAGCTGTTCATACTTGCTGGGAGCCATTTGGAGAAGCCGCACCCTCCCGGATTTGATATCCGGCCCTTGGAGTCCATTGACCCGACCGGCATTCCCAGGAACCTCTGCAGCCCCCAGGCAAATAGCCTAGGCCAGTTTTTCTCAACCCGGGCAATTTTAAGATGCAGGGACTTCAACTCCAGGAATTCCCCAGCCAGGAGTTAAAAGTTGTTGGGGTTGAGAAACGCCACTCTAGGCTGATAGTCGCTGATCCAAGGACTTTCATGCATCAGTCAACCCTTTTTTGAAGCCAGAGAAACTGTTATCCTCATGGTAGCAAATTCCAAAATTTAATTATGTATAAAAAAAAATCTGAAAGTGAGATGGGTGGTACCTTAATCTGACAAACAAATAAGAAATAAATAAGAACATCCTCTGAAAATGTTAGCTTTTGTGGCAGTCATGTTTACACAGCCCACTACTTTTTCCCAAAAAGTAGTGTTTTTAGTGAATACACAAAATTGTAAAAACATGTATTTAAGGAAGCATTCCCTGTTTTCTGTTGAAAACTATGCCATAATGCAGAGCTTCCCGTTTCCTCTTTAGCTTCCAACATAAACTGCCCAGTGGACCTCCAGCTATGATTCCTCCAAGGTTTCTGGGAGAAAAACAGCAGCACCCTGGAAGGATGGAACCCTGGGTGCTCTGTGGTTAGATGTGCAGCATTGCAGGCAAACTGTCCACAGCCTAGAGTTCGATCCCGATCGGCTCAAGATTGACTCAGCCTTCCATCCTTCTGAGGTCTATAAAATGATCCAGACCGTTGGGGGCAACACGCTGATTGTAAACCACCCAGAGAGTGCTGTAAACTGCTGTGGGCAGTATACAAGTCTTAAGTGCTATTGCTGTTGGTATCACCCAAAGTCAGGTACTATTGTTTTTAAGAAATTTTAAAGACTACTTTTATGAACATCTCCCCTGATGAAATGTTCCAGAACAATCAAATGCTCCCCCACTCCTTTGTGCCATTTTGGAAGAGCCTTTCCACCAGCAATCAGCACCTAGATGAGCATACATTAATTCCAAGATTAACACCAGACCAACAATCGAACAATACATCAATCAAGAAACTATCAAATAAACCAACAATAAACAGTCCAACCAAAGAATCTCTAAGACTACTCCCACCAACACTGACAGAGCAAGCCACTAGAACATAAACTGAGAGCAAATCCCATTCCTTACTAGTACTGATGATGTTACCTAGTTTGGGTGATGAAACAACTGCAAGAAAACAACTGAGCTCAGAGAGCACCAAACTCCTTCATTTCAACCCTGAGCTGCAAATATTCCCTTTATTGATATATGCAAAATGTTGCATTGCCTGCTAACTCTTGTGCTGCAGGGACTTGGTCATAGGGAAGGGTGGGACAGATGAATAATTGTGCCCCAGAGCTACTGCCTCTTAGCCCCATTACACAGGATAGAAGCAGCCACAGACTTTTCAGGCAGTCCCCAGTGTGTGTGTGTGGGGGTGCACTTTGGGAAAGCCCTTGTGCCGTCCCCTTCCTTGGTTGTGTTGCAGCTGCTGAGGCTGCTGTGCTGAGCTATGGACTGTACTTTGGGTGGGGACCCAGAGGCAGGCAGGCAGGCAGGCAGGCAGATGGAGGAGCAGAATCTGCTTCTTGCTGGGCTGAGAAATGACCTGGGTCTGGAGAGAAGTGTCCTCTGGAGGACGCCTCCCCGTGTGTAGGAATCTCTTCAGTGGGGTGGTGGCTCAGGTTTGGGTCCCTGCCTTGCTGAGCCAGGAGACTTCTGCGGGAAGAATGGTGGCTGGTGAGGAGAGCCCCTGGCCCACGGGAACGGCAGGAGAAGAAAGTCGGGTGCTCTCCCTGGACCTGGGGTTCCCTGCCAAAAAACTTGAGCAACAGACTTCCCTCGGCCTGAGCTGCAAGCCAGTCCATCTTGTCATGATCCAGCCAGGCTGGTTTCTTAGCAAGAGAAGATGGCACGGAAGTGAGCTGCGCGGAGATCACAGTTCTGCAAGCTGCAGGTGATCCGAAATACAGTCCCCACAGGCAAAGTGCAGCCTGGATTGTGAGGAGGTTTTGGAAAGTCCACCTGATATTCTGAGCCCAGGAACCCTGACTATACTTGTCTCCTCTCCTGGGTCTCTGAGAAGTAGGTCCCCGGGCTGCCTGATGTGCTCTCTTTCTGTCTCCTGCAGCACAGCCACGATGGGAGGCAGCCTGCTTTTTCTCTGCTCTTTCCTGATTCCAGTGATCTTGGCAGAGGGTATGTATAGCTTGGGGGGGGGGATGTCCCCCCAGGGTCTGTGCCTCAAGCTACTCTTGTGGCAACTGGTGGGGAGGAATAGATTTGGGTGGTTTCCTTGCATGTGCTGTAAAGTCAAAGCAGCAGGTTGAGGTCCAGGATTCAGCCCTCTCTGGCTGCGCTAGGCACATGCAGAGGAGGAAGAGGAGGAGGACTTGTTCCCCCCCTTGGCTGCCCACAGAACTGCCACATTGTGGATGTTTTGTTTGCTCTTTTCAGTGACTGAGCAAGAGAAAGAAAAGGATCCCTTCAACTATGGTGAGACAAATACCTTTATTTGAGCCTCTCCAATATTTCTGAGCATTGCTGCCCCTTTGGAACTGCAACCCCACTTCCCTTTGGTCTTCCTCATTCCTCTCCCAGACTACCAGACCCTGCGGATTGGTGGCCTGACCTTTGCCGTCGTTTTCTTCACGCTTGGCATCCTGCTCATTCTGAGTAAGTGAACTGCACACATGAAGGGCAGGAATGCCGTTTGCCCAGAGACTGGCCTCCCTGGTGCAGGAAAGGGGTGATGGCCTGCCTCACCTGGCCAAGGTGAGGCTGTGGCAAGAAGGGGACCCCAGGGGATAAAGTTTTCAGCACCCCCTTTGTACACATGAAAAGAAAGATGGAAACAGGAAGCAGCTGACAGCTACATCCCCTGGGCTGGATCTGCCCAAGTTGGCTTTGCGGGTGAGGCCAGAAGGTGCCACTGGCTTTGCTCAGGAGGTGCCCATGCCAGACTTGCCCTTTCTTGTCCAATGGAAGAGGAAGGCCAATGGTTTGTGTACAACGCAGCTACTTTGTCAAGTTCCCTCACTGAGCTCGGCATCTGGTCTGCTCTGCTATGGTGGGAGACATTCCCAGGGTGCCAGGAGAGCCATGGCCAGAGAAGGCTTCTCCAATGTCCCCCGCCCAGAGCCATCTCCTCTTGCTTCACTGTGCTGTGTCTTTTTCCCCAGGCAGGCGATGCAGGTGCAGCTTCAACACGAAGGCCAGGTGGGTGAGGTGGCATTGCTTCCTGGCTGCCCTTCTCCCCGTTGCCTCCCTGGGGAGTGGGAAGGTGGTGACACCTCCTGTCTGCTCTTGCTCTGCAGGGCTCCTGGTGATGAGGAGGTGCAGGCTGAGAACCTGATTGCTTCAAACGGTAAGGCTTGGCCACATCCTGCCCCCATTCAGGAGAAGGTTTTCTGGCCCTGGAAGGGGACAAAGGTTTGTGGAGTCTATTCAGTCTTCTGCTTGCCACCCCACCCCCATCGTGCTCAGTGCCACCTGCTGGAGCAGGAGATGAGCTTGGGGTTGTCATGTAGTCTGGAAAGAGTGCTGCATTTGCACAGAGGGAGGTCTGGCCTTCTCAAGGGGGCTTCCCTTTTCCTTTGGCTGGGAGGAGGGGACTGGGCCCACCAGAGCGGCCCTCCTGTATGGGCCATGCATCAAAGGTGTTTTTTTTTTCCAGCAGCACCACAGAAAGCAGAGAACTGAAGCAAAGGTGTGCAGGTGAGTTTTCAGAGAGGAAAGAGTATTTGGGGAGGGAAGGGGTTGAGTGGCAGAAACGGAGCAAAACTTGCCAAACTGAAAATTCAGGGACTGTCCTGGGAAGAGGAAGAGGAAGAGGAAGCGCTGACTGTGGAAGCCTGAGTGGACAAAGACAAAGAAGCCTTGTTTCTGGGCCTGAACCCTTTTGCGAGATTTTCATGAAAAGTGATCTTTGCTTTCTCTTAAGAATGGCTACAATTGGCAAGCCTTTGTTTTAAATGTTTAAAGCCAGATGTATCTTTGTGTGCTGCAGAGGGTCTTTCTGTTTTGCCACTGTCTTCTTCCCCTTCTTCTTCAGCAAAGGAGAGCTGACACTGGACCAGTGGATCCCAATGCAAACCAGATAAAGGGACATAGAAGTGATGGCCCCTGGTCCTCTAAGGGAATGTTGACATTTTGGTGTCCATGTTGACCTGTGTCCTGGAAAATCAGTCCTCCGCTTAACAATTCCCCACCAAATCCTTATCTGATTGCATAATGTTCATCTGTCATTACCGTGGTTGTGGTCTTGATATCGTATTTGTGCAACTATCTCTTCTGTGCCCCTCCCTCTTCTCCCATGCTGGTTTGATATTCTGACCTTCCCAGGAGAAGACCTGGCTGCTGCCGCCTTGGTGTGCACAAAGGCTGTGGCTGCCCTCCCCCCCCAGCTGAAACAAGAGGAGGGGAGGACAAGGCCTGTGGGGAGGGACCAGACTGAGAGAGAGGAAAGGGAGTCCAGGAATTTGGTGGTGTTCAGTCTTGGCAACAGCAGCCTCCCCCCCCCTTGCCCTCTGACCCTTCTCCTCCCCAGGTGGTGCCTGGGTCCCTCTAGAACAGTAGTTCTCAACCTTTTTAATGCCGCGACCCCCAACCGGTCGTAAGTCGAGGACTAAGCCGGTCGTAAGTCGAGGACTACCCAACCGGTCGTAAGTCGAGGACTTTCCCTGCCCGGGAGCGCCGCGCATGCGTGGTTCCGCCCCCTGTGTTGGCCGAGGCGTAGCTGGCAAGCGGCAGAGACGGAGCAGGCCGACCACCAACTGGCCCAGCTCAAGGGAGGTAAGGCACCCGCCGGAAAAGGGGAAAAAAATAGCGGACAGCCTTGCTTGGCGACCCCCGTGAAATGGCCGATCGACCCCAAATGGGGTCGCGACCCATAGGTTGAGAACCGCTGCTCTAGAAGCTACTTGTCAGCAAGGCCATACTGGTCCGTGCCCAGTGTCTCTTGAGGCCAGCCAGCCACAGGGCCAGAAAAGGCGTTGGAATGGGAGGGCTCTTCTCAGAAGTCTTCACTTGGCTCCCCAGGAGGCTAAGAGGGAAGTCTGGCAGTGTGCTTTCTTCTCTGGTGGAGATCTGCAGGGGGGGCGGAGGGGGAGGTCTTGTGAGCTCTTTTGCAAGGCTTTCATGGGGTGGGGTGAGGTGATTCCTGTTACCATTGACTTGATTTGGATAGGGACATAAGTTCTGCCAAGCTCCCACCCCTGTGGGTTGCAACACAATACCCTGCAAGATTTGGGTTCTTATTCTCAAGTGCTTGGCAGAATTAGCAACAGAATTCCGCTCAGGAAAGAATGAGAAACTCAATTCCAAGATGGTTTCCATTGGAAGTCCAGAGAGGAGCAAAGGCCTCTTCCAGATGAGGGTGGGAAGTGGGCTTGGCCTGATCTTAATGCCCCATTTCTCAGCCCTAGAAAGCCCCCCCCCAAAGGCTTCCCTGGTTACTTTTCATCTTCTGCAGCCACCTGGTCAGATGCCACCAGTTGAGGAGAGCAGAAGAGGAGCCAACCCCTTCCCTTCCTTCCCCTCCCCCTTTCCCTTTCCTTTCTCCTCCCCTTCCCCAGTCTTGTCTACTGTGGTTGCCACACCTTCTGTGTTGCCACTTGACTCTATTATCTCTGTAGTGTGCAGTAGGTAACAACCATTGAAAACATCTGTGTACAAATGTTGTAATTCCAAAACTTAAGCCATGGTTGTGCATTCACTTGGTGTAGGCTCTCCTGCTGTGTGGTTATGATAAAGGACTCCCACATGTTTGTGCTGTGTCTCAACTCAAGAGAAGTATCAAATAAAATATTGTTTCTATTTCAGTGCCTCAGTGTCCTCCTGCACTGCATGAGGGGTCCTTAGGAGGGTTCCCTGAATAAGGAGGAGTTGTGTCTCCTGCACTTCCAGTGCAGTGCCCCCCCCTTTCCTGCTTGCAAAGGAGAAATGCAGCTGAGGAGTCTCTCCTTTTCTGTAACAATGACTGGTTATCTATCATCTCTCTATATATCATCTCTCTCTCTCTTTCTCTCTCTCTCTCTCTCACACACAAACATCTCTCTCATCTCTATCTATCTATCTATCTATCTATCTATCTATCTATCTATCTATCTATCTATCATTCTCTCTCTCTTCTATCATCAGAAAAGGCTGAACAAATAGTGATGTTTACAAGTAGGAGACCACCCCACTTGCCAGTCACAGAAGGTGGGAAGCCGAGCTATTTGTGTCTGGCCAACTTAGTTGTGTGACCTTGGGAGGGGCTGCCCCCTTCGGATGGGATACCACCAGAGAGCAAAATCCCACAAAAGCTGGACAAAACACAAAGTGTGGTAGGGACTGGAGAGGTAGAGATTTCCTGTCTCTAAGTGGTGGACAAGAAGGAAAAGGGGTGGTGAATACACCTTTCTGGGAGTATGGGCTCTGAGTGGAATCTGTACCACTGGAATGTCAGATGGGCAGCCAATGAAGGACCCCAAGGAACTTGTTCTGTTGAGCGGCTTGATGGCCTGAGAGCCATCCGAGGGTGTTTCTGGTTGACCTTGGGGAAATCCTGGGCTTTCTGGGGTACATGTTGCTTTAGTCTCCTTTAGGAATTTCCCTGTAATGCAGAGCAGCAGCCAGACAGCAAAAAGTATTTGCTGGTATGTAGTGATCCGGTTCCCATGAAACACAAGACACAGGGCTGTCTGCAAAAGTGAGAACCTCGAGTAGATTCGTAAGCTCTCTTTTATTGAAAATTTTACACATAGACCTCATTGTCTTTCCTTCTCAAGTAGGAAATAGCAAACCTTCTGGTTAGCGATTTGCTAGACACAGACACAGATAACATTTATTTGTACTTCG